TGACTGCTGCCTCGTGTGGCACATTTGATTTACTACAATTCAGTAGATTCAGATTATTGTGAGAGTTAGCAAAAAATGAGGAAATGAGGAAAACTTAAAGTTAGCCAAAAACAACAGGACACATTAGCTAGTACGGTGGATACCAGACTTTGCTGAAACGGCGATCGATGGTGTAGCTAGCTAGTCTGTGATGGAACCAGACTTTGCTGAAACGATGGTGTAGCTAGCTAGTCTGTGATGTGTGAACGTCGGTGCAGATGTTTCGGGTTGTCCTGAGTACGTTCTCGTGCGAATAAGCAAAATAAGTTGATTTTATAAAAACTAAAAACCAACTAAAACTCGTAGCTGAGCTTTGTGAGGCGAGGTGAAATGAGGCGACGTACCAGCTGTGACCCCGTTGTTGTTTCTTTAACAGACACATTTTGTGATTTAATTTTCTTCATATTGGTTTTTGTGGAAAAATTACAATCCATTTTCAAGTTGTTGCTACAAATAATTCCTCCGTCTTCTCTCACATTTACTTGGTTTTGAACATCTCACTCTCCTGTACCAGAGTCCAGGGGGAAATGATTTAGCCTCGCTGGTACACAGCACTAGCTACGTTGTTGCTGCCTCGTGTGGTGAGTTTGTAGCACTGTGACAAATCAGAACATTTTTATTCTCATTTTATTCTAAACCCTCAGTATCAACCCTCCTTCTGTCTTGGTTTGTGTTTTTTTAATATTTCATCCATTTTCTTTTAGGGTCTGATTTGAACTAAAAGAATCTTTAAAACAATAAACTGTATTTTAGTAAATATTTTCATTCTAACACTGCTCTAACAATGATACGATGATTAAACAAAATGAAGTCTCATCTGCATAAAGTGTGATTCTCTCGATTTTTGTAGGAAAAAAAAGGAAGACATTAAAAATTAAACATGTGACAGATTCATGTTTATTCATTTTTATACTTTAGAAGTCATGTCTTTTACTAAAGTGTTATTTTATGCCAACTGACATCAGGCCCTTTTAGCTGTTAGTGATTTAGCAGCCGTCCTGATGTTGTTATTTTACATTTTTAATCTGCTTCCTGTCAGCTTGGTGGTGTTAGAACTCAACTCCAGCTTCAGTTAAAGGACAATACTGCAGCGTTTGACACGGTGTTTTTGTTTCCTCAATAAAAATGTAAATTATTGTTTAAAAATGATCAAAGCTTCAGCTCTGGTCCAATCAGCAGCCTCAGAGAGGATGACTCTGGGGGTTCGCAGCGCTCTGATGCCTGAACTAGGCGCTACATTCATTTTACACACTTACGTAATCACTAAAGCCTTCGTTCTCCCTTGGCGGCCAAGACGTGATGTTTAACACCACACACACACACACACACACACACACACACACACACACACACCACCCCCACCAACAGACTCCCACCGGCCGACCCCCCACTGTGGTGTGTGTTGTCACAAACATTTATATCTGAACACACACATGCTAGCAGCCGTTCAGGTCGCATTGACCTTACAGTAGAGTCAGCTCACTCTGTACTGCAGAGGGCGCTGTAAACACAAAACAATACAATAAAACAAAACTCATTTCAACATCAATATTTACTACTTCTTACACTACAAATACAAGCCCAGTGACATATTACAGTGTCATCAGCATATCATTTAATATGTCACTTTTCAGGTGACCAACAACATTATTCATGTGTTTTCATATTTTAAATGTATGCAGAAATGTTTTTAAATTCTACAACCCTACTGCAGTACTGCCATGGACCCCTAGGGGGCGCAGAACCCCCTGGTGATGGCCTACACTGTAGAGCCTAACTTCAGACTCATTCACTTATTTCCCAAATGAGAGTTCAACCTGCAGCTTCAGCAGACGTTCTTACTGAGGTGATGCTAGCGCTGAGCGACTAATGATCTGGGACTGTACACTCCTGCATGTGGACTGTGAACGGCCTTAAATGATGATGATGTTCTTCATCACAGAGAGATCTGTTGTCATCAGTTCCTGAGGCCGACTGTCCTGGGGCAGAATGAGAACTGGCTGAGGATCGTAGTTTTCCTAAAATTCCATCGTTCCATCGTACGATATATGTCAACGTGTAACTTTTGTCACTGATGTTCAGGCGAGACACACACACACACACACAAGAGACCTCCGCTTGTTGCTTTCTCTCCCCCTCCCTCTCTCTCTCTCTCTCCTGTGTCAGCCACTCTGTTGCTATATCTCTCGCCCTGCTAATGAGTGTACCACGGCTGCAGATGTTGGGCAATTATAATCATGGTGTCGTGTAAGCCCTTCTCAAACACACGCTACACACACACACACACACACACACAGGGCTAATTGCTGCTGGCAGCTGAGCTTTATCACACAACTTTTCCCTCTCGAAGCTTAAAAGCTTTCTGGTTTGATCTCCTCCCTGAAGACGGCGGGACAGAACGTTTCCATCTTGTAGTTTCTGTGTCTGTGCATTAACAGAAGCTCCAACGGTTCAACAGAAATCAGATTTCTACCTGCACAACCACAGTCTGGGGTAGTTAGTTAGACCGTGAGAACTCTCTGGTCACCAGGTCTACCTGTTTTCTGAGGCCACTACTGACCCCATTGGCCAGTTATGGTACTGCACTTGGCTGTTGTTAGTGGTAGGAATCAACTAAGGAGTTGTTGTTTGTTGGTTATAATGATGAGAAAACGAAACAAAACTTGATTTATTTTGAACTTTGATTTCTAATCAAATAAATGAATAAATATTTTGTTGTTAGCTGCTGCTGTTTTTATGACAGCTGTTACAAAAAGTCCTCCATGTGTCCATGCCAAGAGTTGGTCGACCAGCAGCCTGGTCAGTGACACTGTCTGGTGTTTTAAATCACAGTAACCCAAAGATCAAGATAAACAAGAAGGAAGGAAAAAAAAAACCCAATTGGACTGGATGAGAACTCTGGAAGACCAAGAGACGATCTACATGTAGTACTCCACCTGCTGTAGTACCACTACCACTACTACGATTGACATCACCATAACTTCTAGTTCTAAGTCTTCTAACTATACTACTTCCACTATACTACTACTACTACTACTACTACTACTAGTACTACTACCACCAACACATCTGCAGCTTCAGCAGTACCATTACTGCTCTGTCAATAACTGTACTGCAGTACTGTTACTAGTACTCTGTACTTCTCCTACTGCTGCCATCTGTCCTCCGTCTCCTCCCTCCGTTGTTTAGATGTGTAGACCTTTAGATCCACCGATGAAGAAGCTCTTCATCCTCAGAGGATCGTCGTCTTACACACGTTTAAATATTTATCCCACTTTATTCCCCGACCTCTGATTTGACTGAATAATTCACCAACAGTCGGTGAGTTTGGAGGAATTTAAACCATATTTCCTGGGTTTGTCGTATTTGACCCCAGGGGTCAGCGTTGGTTCACAGATCCGTGGTCTTCATCAGCCATTCAGGTGAAGATGATGATGATGAGGATGTGATTAAATTTACAGCACCTCCAGCTCACGCTCCCGCTCACTCTCACACGACCTGAGATGAAGTCGACGCCATCTGTCGGTTCACGAAAGCGTTGTTCTGGAAAAGTTCTGATGATTGGTTTAATTTTGGTCCAATTATCTTTTCAGAGGCTAAACAGGAGCTCTTTCTTGCTAACGTCACCCAGTAATTTATGTCTTTTCACAAACACAACCTGACGCCTCATTTCTCTATTGACATGAAGAATCTACTGTGTCTGTAAGTGTCATTGTCTCTGTTCTGTTTTTGTATCATCCTCAAGCCCAGAGGATAGAAAAAGAATCTGTTCAGATAAAAGATAAGCTGTGACAAAAGCTGCGACGCCTGCAGATTGAAATTATCACAGATTTTCTGCTCGGGCTGAGGAGAAAGGACAGATGGCAGGCAGCGATTAAAAAGGAAAGAAAACAATAAAGTCGTGACAAATATCAGTGTTTAACTGAAAGAAATCCGATTTTTTTTTTTTAGAAACACCATCTGAATAAACCCAAACTTAGTCACTTTAGTGGCATCAACAGAAATAACAGTCAGTTTACTGGAATGTAGGAAACAGTACGATGGTTACCGTACAGTACTGTTACCCAGAGTAACAGACAGACCATCATTCACCAACAAAGTCTGAACCCCTGACCTCCGTAGTTTTCTCAGGTCTGTGTTAGACGAACTGTAGAAGAAGCTGAATTACCCAGAGTAACAGACAGACCATCAGTCACCAACAAAGTCTGAACCCCTGACCTTCTTGCTGTAAGGCAAAATCATCACCCACTTCTCACCACACGGTCCATTTAGAGTCAACCGAGGCTTCAAATCTGAGTTACCTCAATCAGTAAATGACCATTTCCATTTCTTTCCTGGACTTGATGTCCCTCTCAGAGCCATGGAGGTCACATGACCTCAGCAGCGGTCGTCAGCTTTCAGAAAGTGTTTGGTCTCCTCCTGCAGGTTCTGACACTTCACATCCAGTGGTTTGCTGACCCAGAAACAGAGAAACATCTGGGCTGAGCGTTTGTTTGCTCAACCGGGAGCAGGATAAAAATAGAGACAGTGGATGTGAGAAAATGGAGTGATGAATAAATAAGTGGCGGTTGATGCAGAACTAAATGTGAGAGGAGGAGACAATGTATGGATGAGACGTGTCCCAAATCAGGGATTCAGTGGACGCTGAGGTAAAGAGCGGTCAGAGAGCGTCTCCCACGTCACACTCCATAAGGTTTACCAGCAATTCTAGCTCGGTGTGACCAGGCGTTACAGGTCCAACACTGCCCCTGGTGGTAACTGAGGTAAATCTGAGGCGATGACATGGTGTGAAAATGAAGGGTTTCCTCTTCACTGGTTGGTTTTCAAACTTTTCCGTCCACGTCTGTTGTTCATTTTGACAGTGAGACATGATTTTTTTATTCTTATTTTCAAAAGGAAACAACTGTCGACACAAAGAAACCTTGGGTGTGTGTGTGTGTGTGTGTGTGGAGGTCGGAGGGGGGGGTGTGGGGGGGGCAGAGGGGTGCCCTGAGGAACATCACATTTTAAATACCATTGTTCATCAATAATTCAGCAAAACGTCTTTGCCATTATCTAAAGAGGATCAACTCAACTTTAGCTAAAGGTTGATAATGGTTTGTCTAAGGTGATTCTTTTAAACGTCTTTTTTACGGACGGCAAACTCATTTGTGTTTGAATGATTGATGTTTGTCATGTTTACCTTAAATCTGATCAAACGGGAAAAGACAGATTTATATTTTGGTCATTATCACCAATGTCAACATCGACCACTTCCCTGTCAACAGTGGCATTTGTTTGTTTTTAGCATCAAAGAGAAGTGAAGAACACACACACACACACACACACACACTGCTCCAAACCTCATTAATTCTTCACCCATAATGCCTGGCAGCAGTAGAATCCTGACTCTGTGTGTGGTGTAAAGTCAATTATTATGTTTATTTATTGCTCTGCTCCTGCAGTCACATCTAAACTCAATTTATAAAATGTAGGTTTTAATTAAGTCCCCTTCTGTGTGTGTATGAGAGTGTGAAAATGACAAAAAAAGAAAAAAAAAACAGGCACAACTTCAAAAGGTAATAATGAGCCAAAAACTACATTAAAGTCAGACAGAAATAAACTTCAAAATAAGAAACAAAACTGCTTAGAAATCAACTAAAATAATAATCCCAGATACTGCAGATCAGAGAAATCACTGGAAAAACAAAAAGTCACTATAATAAAAACATAAACTGCTTAACGTTTGCATAAAAACACTTCATGTGTTCAGGTTTGTCAGACATACTGCACACATTGGACAGAAATATGAATATTTAATATATTAACCATATTAAAAATGACCCAAAAAGTCTAGAGGTAAGACTAGAAGTGGGGCTAAACGCCAAGCTAACAGTCAGTTAAAAAAAAAAAAAAATCCCACTAAACCTTGTGTGTATCTTTATAAACATATATAAATATTTTTCGTTATTCTCTCATTTCCAGGATTCATTTCTTTCTCATCTTTTCTTGCCTTGATTCCTGGCAGTGACACCAGTTTGTCTGCTGAACTAATTTCTCTGATGGATGAAAGATGCAGAGATAACGAAGAGCACACGTCAGGGCTCAGTGGTTGATTTTTACCCTGGATTTTCTCCATGTCTGTAGAGACGGGTCGGGATTTTTTATGTGATCCATAAACACACTGTTTTCTGGAGAATGAATTATATTTTTTCACACATAAAATTAAAACAAACGCACAATTTGATTTAACTTCTGCTCTGAAGTCAGCCATTTCTAAAGATAAAATAAAATGTATGTGTGGATCTTAAAAATGTCAGCTTTAAATCTCAGTAAAAGTTGTTTTATTTTTAGCCATAAAAACTGATTTCAGCTCAAAGGTATGTGGTGGCTGCTGTTGTACGTTCTCTGTTGAATTATTTAAAGAAAATGATTTTTATTTCATGCATTTTCCTCAGATAAGAAACGCTCTGTCACTCTGCCTCTAGTGGTCACTCATAGGTACTGTAGTTGTGTCTGACTGCTCCTGTCTGTTTCAGGCTGTGAGACCATGTGAGGACCAAACACCTGTAGTGTCTCCGCACGTTGGATTTGAACATGGAGGCCAATGAGACGCAGGACCAGACCCACCTCACACTGCCCCCTGCTGGTTTCCAAGAATATGACCTGAACAGCAGTGGTGGAGGCGCTGCTGTGCCTGCAGTGCTCCCCACTCTGATGCTTGACGGAGTGAATTTTCTAGAAGATCCCATCAGACTGCTGAGTGTACAGGTACAAACACTAAGGACATTGACAATGTCATTAAAATAAAGTTAGCCAAGCTGGGCTACTGCTAACCAAACAAAAACAAAAACCAATCCACGAAGCTAATGAGCCAAGGAATAGCTGCAGCAGCAACAGTCACAGTGTTTAGTCAAAGAAAAGATAAGAAAGAAACGATAGGAAGAAACAAAGAAATAAAAACAAAACAAAACGGTGGCCTTGAAGTACTGACTGATGTTCTGGTTCCTGCTTTGTTGTCTTCAGGTGATACTGATCCTGGCCTACAGCACCATCATAATGCTGGGGGTTCTGGGTAATTCTCTGGTCATCTACGTCATTTACCGTTTCAGGACGCTGCGCACTGTCACCAACTTCTTCATAGCTAACCTGGCTGTGGGTACGTTCTTGCACTGAGTTGTTTCTCTGTCAGCTCTGGGAGAACACGGTTGTGAATGGAAGAGAAATGTACAGAACTAACAGGCAACCATGAGGTTTCAGCACCAGGGACAGCTCCAGAGTGATGAGGAGGCATCAGCACCACGGAGAGAGCATCTGCAGCTGTGAACCCAAAGTCAAATACATATGAAGGGACAGGGGACACAGAGCTCTTAGAGCCGTGGATAGTTGACCTAATGGAACAGAGACACTGACACTGGACCAAGGACACAGCTGTTAGAACGTACAAGTCAGAACCATAGACAGACCAAGGACAGACATAAGACTACTGACAGTAGCACTGACAGAGCACCTCCACTGTATTGAAGCAGTGTGGTCAGCACCATGGAGAGAGACACATCAATCACCTGCTGCACTTGTTTGACCAGATGCTTACAGGAGCAGATGTAGGACTAAGTTAGCCGTAGTTGGCGCTAAAAACACGATCTTGAGTGTTTGTTTTTTTGTTGTTTTGTTTTCTCATCTATCCTCAGCTGACCTACTGGTCAACACTCTGTGTCTGCCCTTCACACTGGTCTACACCCTGCAGGGAGAGTGGAAATTCGGCAGCGCTCTCTGCTTCCTGCTCCCCTACGCCCAGGGACTGGCCGTGCATGTGTCTACTGTCACACTCAACGTCATCGCTCTGGACCGCCACAGGTCAGTGTGCTCTGTGGGTGGGGTGGAGTCTGGAGATCAGGATGTGGACTGTCGTGTGCTGGTTGTGTTGCAGGTGTATTGTGTATCATCTGGAGACCAGGATGAGGAAGGACGTGTGTTTTGGTGTCATCGCTCTGACCTGGCTGCTCAGCGCCGTCCTGGCCAGTCCTTTGGCCATTTTCAGAGAGTACGGCTCCTTGAATCTGGAGCCTGGACACAGCATACAAGTAACTACAGACACTCACCACAGACACACTAACACTCTTGATTGTGCGACAAGTTTTTCCTTGGGAAAACACTGTTCACGGAATTAGAATTATGTTCAAAAAAAATTTAAAATGTCGCTTTCACATAAACACAAGCCACAACAGCAACAGCTGGAGGAAATGGAAGCTAGAAGTCTGAGGAAACATTTAGAACTTAAAATGGATGGATGAAATTCTGCTGCACACAGTTCCTCCATCCTTCTTCTCTCAGGTGTGTGCAGAGAAGTGGCCTGGGAAAACCACTGATGGCGCCATCTACAGCATCTCCATGTTGGTCCTGCAGTATTTCCTTCCATTGTCTATCATCTCTTTTGCTTACGCTCGTATCTGGTCAAAGCTGCGTGGCCACGTCAGCCCAGCAGAGGGCACTGGGGCCGGTGCCGGCGGCAGCAGTACTGCCGGATCCGAGCGTCACCGGCGTCGCCGCAAGACCACGAAGATGCTGGTGACGATGGTGGTGGTGTTCGCTGTCAGCTGGCTGCCGTTCCACGCCTTCCAGTTAGCCACGGACATCGACAGCTCCGTCCTGGACATGCGCGACTTCCACCTGCTCTACACCGTCTTCCACGTCATCGCCATGTGCTCCACGTTCGCCAATCCCCTGCTGTACGGCTGGATGAACCGCAACTACCGCGCCGCCTTCCTCGCCGTGTTCAAGGAAAGAGGTGGCAGAAGTGGTCGACTGGACTCCATCCACCCAGTCCAAGGAGGAGGGGCAGGAGCAGGACGCTCCAAGAAGATTGTTCTGGAAAGACAGGACGTGGTGTCCACGCACCTGAACGCCACTGACGTCTGAGAGGCAGGACAGTGGAGGACGGTTAGGTCTGATGAGGGACAAATACAGAACCAGAACACCAGGGTCACGGAAACTATGAAGGCTGCCAACGCCGAGATACAAGGGAGCAGATTGGACTAAGGCCAAGGGAGTGACATCATCATCGACAGATCTTTCCAACTCTGTTCTGTGGGCCACATTTGTCAACGATGCAGCGGTCCACACGTTCACCTGGGAGTCTGAAGAGTTTATAAAATAACCTGGGTTGCTTGGTCAAATACCTATGTCACCTGAGGGGGCTTAGAGCACAGTTGTGGACAGGAGGACACTGGAGGACACTGGAGGACACTGTGTTGGGGAAGGCACCAATCCCCATCTATTATTGGCCAAGACATTTGAATTTTATGCAAAACTAAAAACATAAATGCACGAGGCAAAACAATCTGGAAAAAAAAAACTGTGTCTGATCATCGTCTGTTTGTTCACAAACAAAGACACATGTTGGACAAAATGGACAGGAAGGAAGGAGACGCGTCTGAAAGAACAGGGCTCCAGACCATGGTGTGTCAGAGAAACTCCACCATTGTCCTTGTGGGTTTTTTATGTGAGCCACCGTGTGGTGTGATGCCTCAGTTTGATCCACCTTTCCTTCCCTGCTCTTCTTTGACTCTAACAGGGTTTTTTTCTGCTTCAAGATGTTTTTTTTATTAGCTAACGTCTACATATATGTCAAGAGTGTGAGTTCAGGACACTGGTATTTTTATATCACAGCTGAATGTAAACTGTTGTTACTGTGATGTTGTCATTCAGAAAAAACATCTATGGAATAAAACCTTATAGCACAAGCACAAAAAAACATCAAACGTCTCATGTCTGGTGTGTGTGTGTGTGTTTGTTCCTTTCCTTATCACAACTTCGGCCCTCTTTTGGCTAACTGTTAGCACCTCTGACGGTTGTGCTAAATACTGTCAGACCTGCTATAGTCGCAGCTGTGTGGAACCTTCTTTTACGTTGTTTTGGCTGAACCTTCATGTTAAACGTTAGCTAACTGGTGGCTGTATTAGTGTAGCCTTTCCCTGTATTTGTTCAACTACGTCGTACTTCTTAGCTAACACCGACCCTGTCTGTACTTCTGGTGAAAGAAGAAACACTGAGATGTTCCTCTTCACTCTGGTGTCTCCATATGCTAATGCAGTGGTTCTCAATTATGTTCTGTCATGCCCCCCCTTGTGGACAGAAACGTTTTCACCTCCCCCTTGAGACCCACACCCCACAAATTGAAATACTGTTAAGAGCCTGAAAACATGTATATTTGTATCTGTACAAACCACTGTATGAGTTGCTGCCACCTTGTGGCTGGAGGCTTGTTATCATTCAAGCATTACAGCAGTGGTACCTCACTGTGCCTCCTCTACGCCACCCCTGCCCCCAGGGGGCCCCGCCCCACTATTTGAGAATGACTGTGCTAATGGATTAGCATCAGTCAAAACAGTTGACACTGATTGATTAGGTTGTGGAATTTTTAGCTGTGATTAAAAACACAGCTCATGGACATGACATGGTCGACCTCGTCCTGAATTACAATGACAGTGACTCTGGAACAAACAAGGTCGCAGAGGATCGATCGTCACGCTGCACGTCAATTGATGTGTTGACCCTGAGCTGCTGTCAGTGCCGGTGGAGAGACCCAGACTGACCCGGGAACCACAGCTTCAGACCACGGGTTGCTCAATTTTGAGTCATTGTAGTCAAAGAGTAATTTTTAGCAAAAAAATGAAAAATATTAACAAATGCACACCCTGCAGGACTGAAAAGGAATAAAAAAGATCTTTTTACATAGTCATGGTTTTGTGGAGCCTCCACACAGACACAGACCCAGACACAGAAACAGACACAGACCCAGACCCAGACACAGACACAAACACAGACACAGACCCAGACACAGAAACAGACACAGACCCAGACCCAGACCCAGCCCCAGACACAGACACAGACCCAGACCCAGACCCAGCCCCAGACACAGACCCAGACCCAGACACAGACACACCCACAGACACAGACACAGACACAGGCCCAGACACAGACACAGACCCAGACCCAGACCCAGACACAGACCCAGACACAGACCCAGACCCAGACCCAGACACAGACACTTCAGTGAACCCGTCAGAAGTCATCAGTCACTGCTGTGGGTTTCCTCTCAACTGAAACCCTGATTCTCTGAACAGTTAAGTTTCCGCCTCAGAAAAGACCGACCACTGAACGACAACAAATCAAACAGCGTTAATGTAGAGAGATGGGCTGACCTCTGACCTTCAAACCAAACTATACAAGTCTATATGATATATAAATATATATGTATTTATGTACTACAATACTGCTAGGCCATACTATGACTACTATACTATGACTAATATTTCTGTTACAACTACTGTTGGAATATTTGGAATACAAAGCTATACTTTAATATTTCAATATTACATAGTATCATGCTATGATTATACTCTACCTATACATTAGTATATATATGTATCACAAAGTACACAGTCCTACAACGATGCAATGCTTTATGTTACGATTTCAGTCAGACATGTTTTCACTCCCTCATCGTCCTGAAGTCACTTCTCAGTCCGGGAACAACGACTTTAAATAACCTTTACACTGTAGCGCCATCTAGTGGTTATGTAAAATACGGGCCTCAGCTGATCCCACACGGTGACATGAGACAGGCCTTTGTTGCAGTACCTCAGTAACACCGGTAGTGGGGCCTGTTGTGTTGTGCTACAGGGAGAGGAGATGACGTTAACCACGTTCTTCCTGCAGCTCAGCGCCAACAGAACATGACGTGTTCGAGTGACGACAGAGATGTCGCGAAAAAAACTCAACTTGACTCAAACTGTGGCAACAATGTAACAGGCTGAAAAAAAATGGCAATCCTGTACTTCTGACAATAATACAAATAAAAGTTTGTCTGAAAAGATGCCATAATCATCGCTGAATAAGACATAAAAAATAAAAAGCAAATATGACCAAAAGTCCAGTCCCTGGAGGAGGGGGGGGGGGGGGGGGTAGTTTGTTCTGATCACAGTGTTTGTTCACTGTGGGTGTTCTCGTTATTTCACAACATACGACCAACAACTGGTCCACCCCGCTGACCTTGACGCTGCTGAGTCAGCGCTGTGTCACAGACGGACCCTTCAAATGTCCTGAGTGGAGCAGTCGGGGACCAGAAGAAGAAGAAGCAGAGCAGTGGGAAACCATGAGGAAACTCCACGCACTGGTCTCACTGATCCTCCTCTGTGGAGCTGCAGCATCAGAGGTCAGTCGGGGCTCAAACCATTTTCAACACCTAACTATTTGGGAGGGTTTTTGGGGTTTTTTTTCTACCCTGGGAGGTTTTCATGTATTTAATTATCTCTTTCAGACTTAATTAAACTACGAGATGAGAAGATAAAAAGCCATATGTAGCTAAATACCAGAAATGAGGCCAATGCTATAAAAATTTAAAATAAAAAAAGGTATCGGTTGCTTTACAAAAAAAACCCCAAACAACACAACTAAGAGCAACTTACAGAGCAAAAAATAGCACAGAACAGGAGTTAGCAACAACAGACGGGGCTAGGCCATGGTAATAGGTCAAAGCCATTTTTGTTAACGATTGGCAAAAAAATAAAAAATAAAAAAGCTCAGGGAAAAACAACAGTTAGAAAAGTAATTGACATTAAGATAAAGAAAAAAGATAGATTAGATGACAAAAGGTAAACCTAATGATTGTAAAATGTGTTTTCAACTGAAGGAAAATAAGTTAAAAAAAAAAAAACCCAAAGTTAGCCTCAAAGGTAATCAGGATTGTTAAAGTTGAAAACTGGCTAACAGTATCTCTAAATGACATCATCTAAAACATGTAGAAAAGCTCCAAAAATGATCAACGTTAACCTGACATTAACCCTAGCACAGAACATGGCTAACAATGATGAAATATAAGAAAAAAAAAGTCAGAAATAGCTTAACATTAGACAGTAAATCTCAGCAGGTTAGCTAAGAACGTCCTGAAGTAAAGTGAACTATGAAAGAACCTCTCAGAGGCAGCTGAGAGGTTTAAGGCCTCTCAGGTTGAAGGCTGGGGTCGGGGTTTAGGGTTTGGATTAGGTGACATTCAGTCGGGAAACTGCTTGAACCGTACTTTGGTGACGGTCCCTAACTCTTCCAGCTCGGTCCTCGAGGTGCTCGTCCAGTGGAGCCGTCCACCAGGTCAGACAATTGTCCTCCCCAGAAGGAGTGGCCTTTCTGCACAGATGACGACTGGGTAAGAGAACCACGTTGATGACCAACACCTCTGTCGCACCTGAGCAAAGATATGCTCAACAAATAACCCCCCCCCCCCCCCCCAGGGCCATAAATGTCCCTCCGGCTGCAGGATCCAGGGTCTGATGGACAAAAACGACCACATGTTTCTGAAGGGGATCGAAAAGATCCGCAACATGCTGGAGCAGAACCAAGCTAAGTACCGCACCACGGACCACGTCTCCAAACAGACCTACGACTACCTGAGGGAGAAACTCACCCTCGAATCTGGTTGGTCACTTTTCAACAACTCTCCACATTTCAAACATTTACCTGAAGCTAATGTATCTGTTTAGATCACAGTTAGCCACAGTTGGCACACACACACACACACACACACACACACACACACACACACACACACACAGAGTGTAAATAAGTCAAAAATTCAAAAGAGAACACGTTTCTGTTAAATATCTTGAGTTTAGCCAAAAATGGTCAAAAACAGGTACTATAAAAATAATGAAACCGAGCTAAACAGTTGTTGAATCCAAAGTTGCACAAAAAAAGATGTTAACCAATCAACGATTCAGGAAGAAAATACTGACAAATAAATACATTAGTTTTCTTTTTTCTGTAGTTAATTACTATAATTATTATTATTATTATAATAATTATTATAGTTATTATTGTTATTATAATTATTATTGTTGTTGTTGTTGTTGTTGTTGTTGTTATTACGGTAACCTGAGAACCTTAATGCTAACTGTAGACATTTGACATCTTCTCAGTTTTGTTACACCTCCACTTCAAGACCAGTGATTAATGACTAGAACGATGTAAATTAAATTTACAGATTTAAACAACAAAACTTTTCATCTTTTTTAACTCTTTTAACTTTTTTTTTTTGTTAACAGGTCAAGATAAAACTACTACGACTTGGCCCAGAATCTGCGCAAAAGAATCAATGACTTAAAAATCACAATTGACCGACAGCTGCGGAGCCTGAAGGCCCTGAAGGACCGGGTCAGAGACCAGGTGGTGGACATGCAGAGGCTCGAGGTACGCCGTCAGAACAAGAAGAACAACAACAAAGATGAGAGAGCTCTCCAAACAAGCAGAGCGTCAATGGCTGAATTCTGACTTGGTTCAATTATTATTAGTTCAATTTAAGGGTTTATCAGCTCTGTTCCATCTGTGTGTGTGTGTGTTGGCGTAGTGCAGTGGACGAAGAAAAAGAAGAAGAAGAAGAACCCTAGGCTTGGTGTTGGGTTCAGCATAAAAACTCCACTAACTCACTTTGTGCACAGTTCAGTACAGTCTTCAGTAGCTTAGCTGTTAGCCTTGAGGTCTATCTTTTAACGGCTCAAGTGCTAGAAGCTGCGAACCCCTGCTCTACAAGTCAGCTGTGTCAGTCTATATATAAATGTATATATTTATATATACTTATCTAAGTTTTTAGCTAACTGTCGTGTCCCATTTGTCCTCCAGGTCGATATCGACATTAAGCTGCGCGCCTGCAAAGGCTCGTGCAGCAACTACCCCGAGTACCAGGTGGACAGGGACAGCTACGTGGACCTGGAGAAACAGGTAAACCAATGTTACCACAAATCCAGGACGCCCTTTAAGGACTTTGGGTTAAAAACAGAGGTCACAGTTGGTGGTGTGCAGTGGTGAGCTGTGTCACAGTGACAGGGAGTTGACTTTCCTTCCCTTCATTATTGAACATTATTCTCTCTGGAATCACTGGAGTCACTTCCCAGCGTTCTCCAAACTCTACAGCGTCCAGAGCCTTCTGTGTTGCAGGGAGCTGCTACATACATGGACTGTATTTGTGTCCATTTCGCAGGTTAACCAGCTCCACAGCCAGGCGGCTCAGAGCGTAGAGACGGTGAAGACGCTGTACGTGATGAAGAGCAGACAGTTGCAGGACTTGACGTCGGACAGCAACTACAAGTCTGGGGTCACAAAAACAGCAGCGCAGCAGAAGGTGGATGTGTTCAATGAGGTCAGTAAGGTGGCGCTAGTGTCCGCTAATGTATGGTGTGTTTCTACATCTTTCACCAAGGAGGAATATTTGTCGTACAAAGAAAGTAGAACAAAATGTCTATGATTTCAGGTCACACCCTACTGCAGTTTTTCACCCACTTCTGCCAATCCCTACATAACTGGTTACTTTGAAGTTCTTATGTTTTAAGACCGTTGTTCAGAATTATCTTAATGACATCAACTGACCACACGAGGCAGCAGTGAAATAGCAATTTTAGCATTTCTACAAAATTATTTTTTAAATGTTCTCGTAAAGATTCTGGTGCATGTTTGGTACGTGTGCTAACTGTCTGACTGGTCATCACTATTATCAGGTGTACAATCTGTAGCCACTGTAACGGTTTCCTTATTTGTCTGTCAAATGTTTTGACCTACTTTACATGCTGAACTTAGCCTACCGGTAGTACACTAGTAGCACCACCTGCAGGCCAGGGAAGAGAAGCTAAATGCTCACTGCCTACAACCACACATGCCAATAACTAAACAAAACTACAGAGTGTACCTTTAAGCCAGTGATGTAACTTCAAGCTGACGTTTCTTTCTCAGGTGAAACAGTTCCAGTTGGTCCTTGAGGAGGAAGGATCGAAGGCGTCCCCTGCAACCATCTCCAAGGACACAGGTACTTCTTTCTTTCCATCATCATCTTCCACCTCCACTGCTTCCTCCTCCTCTTCCTCCTCCTCCACTTACTCCAAGTCCATTACTGAGATTGACCAAGGCGGCGGTGGCAATTTGTTCAGTGGAGGCTTCGAAGCCTTCAGTCAGCCCAGCACCTCCCACGTGACCACCAGCACCACCACCTGCACCAGGAGCGTAAAGACGATCGTGGTTCACACCAAGGACGGACCAGTAGAGAGGACGGAGGAAGTGATCGAGGGAGGTCCACAGTGTCAGGCCCTGGCAGACTTCACCAAAGGAGGCTCTCTGCCCTCTACCTTCAGCCACACCTCCTCCTCCTCCTCCTCCACAACAAAGACCATCCACTCCGGTGGTACTAAAGGCAGCCTCACCACAGACTCCAACACTGGTTTCGGTGACGTTGGCTTCGACCTCGGCGGCTTCATGACCGATGATCCAGAGGACGACATTCCTGATTTCCACGCCCGGAGTGTGAAGAGCACGCGTGTTGAGCGACAGGCCAGTTATGTAGGAAAAGGTACCGAAACATCAGACGTGGAGTAAAACTGTGATAGAGACAAGGTGGCGACAGTTAGCTAGAATGTCACATGTTAGCAGCAGATAACCTTAAGTTTCCTCAATAAAAAAGGGTAACAGTGTCAATTGGAGAGATTTAAATGTTAAATGAAAAAAATGTGTGTTAAACGTCCCCCGCTTAACACACATTTTTTAGACCAGGCGTGGGCAACCTTTTTGACTCACGGTCCACAATTGGTCCAAAGATTTGACGGGGGGGGGGGGGGGGGGGGGCAGGCAGATAGATGGAGCGTTCGTGTGAACCAAGATAAATGACCTGTAAAAGCCACGCATAAAGGCTAAAATGCTGAAATATCTAAAGGGAAAACGTGGCCATTGCAGGGAAAAGGCAGGAATATAATCACAGTACAAACCAGTTATATAATTTGGACAGATTTGGCAGGCCAGATTAAAAAGCTGAACCTGGCCCCCGGGCCTTAGTTTGACCATGCCTGCCCAAACGACTGTGAATCCAGTTTTTTTTAATCAAATAAATTCATGCCAAACACCATAGACAAAAAGAACATCGTAAGCTCATGTAAACGCAGTAGCTACTTGTGCACAGCGCCCGACTGTCGTAAGTCTGGGTCACTACACTTATAGATCATTTTGAACATGAACGTGACAACATTTAGTTTGACCATTTTTCCCTGTGGACATTGGTGCAGTTTACAGCTACATAACCACTAACTTTGGACACTTCTATACAATGGAGACACTTTTTGGTTGATTGGGTCGTTTTAACCATTTGATTGGACATACAAAATAAAGGAACAAGTTGATAAGGTCGTGACTTAAGAAAAAACTACACCTGTCACTTTTCCTCCAAATTGCAGTCCTCATCCGACAGTGAATGATGTTATAGTTGCTAGACAGTTAGCACGCTAAGCTAACATATCCTCTAAATGTACTTCCTGTTCAAGAACTAGAGAAAACTGCAGTCCTCGTGATTTATAGGAACATATCCATCGACAGTGACTTGCTCAGTAGTGTGGGGCCACCCCTGGATGCTAACCAATCCCTCTGCAGAGCCAAATACTACAACATGACATCACTGAGCTACAATAGTTTATAATACAGGCAACCAATGTCGGAACTAAATAAATGTGACTCACTTTCAAAAGATTAGCCCTTTTTAATAGTCAAATACTGACAGCCCTACAAATACAAGTTAATGTGTTCTTGCGAATTGTATCAATTTGAGTTGAGGCTATGCTAGTTGAACAGGCTAGTCGACGCTAATTCGCACTCGGTAATCGCGGTGTGCCCCTCTCTCTCCGCAGATTGTGCCGACGTCCAGCTGAAGCACTTGAATGGCGAAACGAACGGCCTGTTTAAGATCAGACCCGGCAGTTCAGACTCCACAACCGTCGTGGATGTTTACTGCCACCAGGAAGGGCTAATGGGTGGGTGGTTGTTAGTGCAGCAGAGGGAGAGTGGCGCGCTCGGCTTTAACCGTACCTGGGCCGAATATCGTGATGGGTTTGGTTCGGTGGATGCGCAGGGAAGGGGCGAGCTCTGGCTCGGGAACCAGAATCTCCACCTACTGACGAGTCAGGGTGAGACGATGCTTAGGGTGGAACTGGAGGACTGGGAGGGAGACGTGGCGAGCGGAGAGTACTCGGTCAGGATCGGTTCAGAGGGGGAGGGGTTTCCTCTGCGCGTGTCCACGTACACGGGGGACGCTGGCGATGCTCTGGGTGTCCACAGCGGGATGAAATTCAGCACCGTGGACAAAGACAGGGATACCTGGGAGGGCAATTGCGCAGAGGCTTACGGCGGTGGGTGGTGGTACTACAACTGTCAATCGGCAAACTTAAATGGAATCTATTACAAAGGCAGTTATGAGGTTGGAGATACGGCGCCGTATCGGGTTGCAAACGGTATAGTGTGGAAAACGTACAAAGCGGAGAATTACAGTCTGAAAAGTGTGAGGATGTTCATTCGACCAGCTGCGTTTTAAAATCAGAAATCAGAAAGAAAATCCCTCTTAAGACTTGAAATAAATGTTATGAAGTGACTCAGAAGTGCTGCGGCATTTCAACTCCCGCTCAAACATGGTGAGTTTGTCTTCTTGTGAAACTGAATCGATCTGTTTGATGTTGTTACCAAATGTGATGTTCTGTTCTGTGGCTGCTCTCTGCTCTAACAATAAAGACTGGACGTTCACCTCAGTGTCTGTGTCCCAGGCATTATTTCAACATCACACGAGACCTTAGTGATTCTTCAGACCGGGGACAGATCGTGACAGGAACCTGGTCCAAGTCAAGTCAGTTCGCTTCAATGGACTTAACAGTTTAAAAAACACAAACAAAAATATACATGTAGTCAATGTTAGACTTAGGTTTTATGAACAGTAAAACAGAATAGGTTTTACATAAAAAATATTGAAAAATAAATTAAATCACCATTGGTTTTATATTGAAAAATAAATTAAATCACCATTTAATAATAATAGAATTTAATGATAATATTGTCTTTTTCTACTTTTGATGAAACTGCATGATGACCACCATAGTCAGTGATACAGGTGGACACAGACTGTGTTCCCCTGCTATACACCTGGAACATATGGATTGGTGGCAACCAACTGTTTTTGTTTTCTTGCCACTAGCCCATAAATTTAGACTAATGTGAGCTAAAGTTAAGCTTCATTATACATATCTGTATAGGTGCTGATTGGAAAAAAAATTAAAATGTAAAAAACCAGTGGGCATCACACTTTCAAAATAACCAGAATAAAGAAAAACCATTCTAAGCACAATTAAAAATGGACAGTGTTAAATGATTCATGTCTTTAAACAATAACAATGTGTTAACTTAACCCTGTATACATGTTAAAGTTATAGTGTTATTGTGGGCTGGCTACACCCTTTGTCTGTACCAGCACTGTTGTAGCTAATGTTAGCTCCGGTGTCTGTACCAGGGCTGTTGTAGCTAATGTTAGCTCCGGTGTCTGTACCAGGGCTGTTGTAGCTAATGTTAGCTCTGGTGTCTGTATCAGCACAGTTGTAGCTAATGTTAGCTCTGGTGTCTGCACCAGCACTGTTGTAGCTAATGTTAGCTCCGGTGTCTGTACCAGGACTGTTGTAGCTAATGTTAGCTCTGGTGTCTATACCACCACTGTTGTAGCTAATGTTAGCTCTGGTGTCTGTACTAGGACTGTTGTAGCTAATGTTAGCTCTGGTGTCTATACCACCACTGTTGTAGCTAATGTTAGCTCTGGTGTCTGCACCAGCACTGTTGTAGCTAATGTTAGCTCCGGTGTCTGTACCAGGACTGTTGTAGCTAATGTTAGCTCAGGTGTCTGTACCAGGACTGTTGTAGCTAATGTTAGCTCCGGTGTCTGTACCAGGACTGTTGTAGCTAATGTTAGCTCCGGTGTCTGTACCAGGGCTGTTGTAGCTAATGTTAGCTCCGGTGTCTGTACCAGGGCTGTTGTAGCTAATGTTAGCTCCGGTGTCTGTACCAGGACTGTTGTAGCTAATGTTAGCTCTGGTGTCTGTATCAGCACAGTTGTAGCTAATGTTAGCTCTGGTGTCTGTACCAGGACTGTTGTAGCAAACATTAGAAGTTCTTCTTTTTTTTAAGTGTTTGAGAACACTCGACTTGTTCAGTTAGGTCTAAAGGGGTTAAAATCTACACCATTCAGATGACAAAAAATACTGATTAAAAACCAAGGAAAAACTTCTTTAACTGTGTTTAACAAACAGACTGTGATCTTTGTCCAGTCATCAGGTCAAACACACAAAACAAACACACAACCCACAGTGTACACAGATGTCATGTTTGCCTGAACGTCTGAACTGGACTTTGCTGAACGGTCACTGACCTAAACTTGTTTTTTATTTTTCCCGGCAGTGTGTACGAGGATGTTGCAAGACAAGCAAGATGGCCGACAGTCCCCTGATGGAACCCAGGGATACAGGGGTCGGCAGTGCACTGGCAAATCAGCTGCTCTGTGTACGGACGACGACTGGGTGAGAATGTGAAGACATAACAGTCAAAATATGAGATATTCACTGTCCAGGTAATTAACAAACTGATTAGAAAACATTCTGAGATGATGTTGTAATAAGATAATGTGATAAACACTCACAATAATGAATGAAAACGAGACCAACAGTCAGAAACCTGAGATCAAATGTCATTGTGATCAAACGAACAGTTAGAATTCTTTACATTTTTGATCCTGTCATAGGAAATACTCATCAATCTGCAGAATTAATCTGAATAAAGTCAGGAGAGATTTCTTGGGATTTGCTGTTGAGGTGAGTTTCTGTCTCCACAGGTGTCCAAATGTCCCTCTGGCTGCAGGATGCAGGGTTTGATCTCACACTCTGAACACAAAACACAGAGAAGAATCCGGAAGGTGTGTGAGACAGTGAAGGAGTTGCAGAACAAGGCGGAGACTTCCATGACAGCAGTGACCAACATCTACAACTGGAACCGCAGAGTCATCGTCCACAGATACGGTGTGTTTGAGTCCACAGGACTGGGCCAACTCTGACGATCCAACTGAACATTGTTGTGTTGTCTCCTTCAGTGTCGGAGCAGAAGTTTGCAGAACAGGCCGAGATACTAGCCAAGAATCTCACGTTGTTAAGGAAACGCTCGTCTGTTCTGTCGCAAAAACTCCAGGAGATGCGTAGTCACGTCAAGAGACAGATTGAAGACTTGTATCGGACTGAGGTAAGGCGTCAAACCAGTGACGACACTGTTCAGTCACCACATTAGTACAGTTCTTATGGGATTGCTCTTGTTCTAATCAGTGGAACACAGAACCACAGTTTTTCTTTTCTGTCATCACCGTCCTGAGACAGTCAAACCTTTAACACCCGTTTCTTGAAATTCTCCTCATTTCTCTCTGTGGCTTCTCCAACAGGTGGACATAGACATAAAGATCCGATCCTGTGGTGGGTCCTGCCACTCTGGAATACAGTTCTCTGTGGACCACCACAGCTACCAGAGGCTTCAAACTGACATGGACCAGATCCACACCACAGTCAACTGGAGGAGCAGGGCTGTGACACCTTCTGAGGGAGTCGCACGTGTCACACTGAGGCCCGTAGATGTTGGTCCACCACCGTCTCCAGAATACAAGACCATCCCAACGGTTCAGAGAGAACTCCTGACCCAGTTTGAAGACATCGAACAGAATCAATTTGTTTTGGAGGAAGAAGTCCACCTCTGAGGACCTGGTGGTAGGAGGACTCCGTTGGACTGGCAGCTTCCAGAACTTCTCACACCAGACATTTTGGTGATGTGCCGCAGTACTGTTGAGCATCATCTGCCCTCAGGTCACATTCAGAAAAGTGCAGATTCTCACGTATCCAGGTTCTCTGATCGTTCAACCAGGACCTACTGAACTCCTAATATGAAGAAGGTTCTGGGTTCTGGTTTTCCGGAGAAGAGAACCATCTGTTTGAGTTGTTGTACAACTGCAGCTGTCAACACCAGAACTTTGTTTCACACTAAAATATCATATTTATAACAAACTCTGTGGTTCTTTTGCATGACAAGAATACAAATAATGACTATTACACTAGCCCTAAATGCAGTGATCGACATGAAGGATAACAATTCCTAGATATCTCATCAATACCCATTGTGCTGATCACCTGACAACATATATGTGTCAGTTTTTTTAAACTACTGTGTGTTAACTACAACAGTAGTGTAAAAACAGCATTAGTGTTACTTCAAACATCACATTTATAAACACGTTTCTGATGTGAAATCTTCCCCCCAAGAGACCTCACTGATTCAGCACAAGAAAAGTACTTTGTGTCACAGTCAGCAAAGTTTGCATTTTAAATAAATGTTGGTGAACGACTGAATCACAAATGTTTCTTTTTCATCTGTCATTCAGCTAACGTTTGCTCTGGTGTCTGCACCAGGACTGTTGAAGCTAAATTGTTACGCAAAACGCACACCTGTGAAACGCACATCATTATGATCAAACTACGAGAGGTCCGGCCAAAACAGGACAGTTGGTAACCCTAGTCTGTACCAGAACTGTTGTAGCTAATGTTAGCTCAGGTGTCTGTGCCAGGTCTGTGGTAGCTAATGTTAGCTCTGGTGTCTGTACCAGGACTGGTGAAGCTAATGTTAGCTCTGGTGTCTGTACCAGCACTGTTGTAGCTAATGTTAGCTCTGGTGTCTGTACCAGGACTGTTGTAGCTACTGTTAGCTCTGGTGTCTGTACCAGGACTGTTGAAGCTAATGTTAGCTCTGGTGTCTGTACCAGAACTGTTGTAGCTAATGCTAGCTCAGGTGTCTGTACCAGGACTGTTGAAGCTAATGTTAGCTCTGGTGTCTGTACCAGAACTGTTGTAGCTAATGTTAGCTCTGGTGTCTGTACCAGAACTGTTGTAGCTAATGTTAGCTCTGGTGTCTGTACCAGGACTGGTGAAGCTAATGTTAGCTCTGGTGTCTGTACCAGGACTGTTGAAGCTAATGTTAGCTCTGGTGTCTGTACCAGAACTGTTGTAGCTAATGTTAGCTCTGGTGTCTGTACCAGCACTGTTGTAGCTAATGTTAGCTCTGGTGTCTGTACCAGCACTGTTGTAGCTAATGTTAGCTCTGGTGTCTGTACCAGGACTGTTGTAGCTAATGCTAGCTCAGGCGTGTTGAGGCGGTGCAGCAGTTTAATCTCTAATTATAAGATCTTTTTTTTTATATAAAAACATCTCTATGTAACATTCCATCCATCCATCCATCCATCCATTTCCGCTTATTCGTTACCAGGTCACAGGGGCATCAGTCTCCATGACCACCACCCAAATCCCACTGCACCGTACCAACCCCCCTAAACCTTCCTGCAGGTGGTCAGTCCACTGGAAGGTACCAACCGCCCTGACCAGGATTGGATCTTGCCCAGGAGGTGAACCCTGGGGTTCCACACCAGTGACAGAGACTTTGGGCCAAAGCGCTGCTCTACGTAAGATTCTTAAACATAAATAAATATTTTGAGAACTAGACACAGAGGCTGTTTGTCAGTGTTTATTACAGGAAACTGACGTGTGACTCAGCTGACAGCAACAAACACACAAACCACAGACCCACAGACCACAGAGCGTTTTCTTACAAATTGTGTCTGTGTGAAAAATCACACTTTAAAAAAAGATCTATTATATATATATATTTTCATTTCCACAACTTTCTATCAAAACCTTTTTCTCATTACTAGCACAAGTCCACTCGGATTTGTGTTAAAGTGTTTATTTTCCCGAGAACATCACGCTAGCGTCTGTCGTTTGTGTGTGTCTCTGTGGCAGCGCCCTCATCTGGAGGCGAAGAAGGGCCTGATCTTCATGCTGATGGCCTTCAGTGAGTACCAGCCCCCCTTCCAGTTCAGCCACACCACACCGTCGTCCGTGCCATGTTTGGCCATGTTGCTGGTATAGGCTCCCCCCATGTAGTATCGGCCGTTGGGATTGGCTGAGTGGCAGCGGTTGTACCACCAGCCACCTCCATCCTCCTTGGAGCACTGCTTGGACGGATCACCTGGGATCCTGGTTCAAGGAGACAAGATCAAGTTGTGTGGAAGACAAGAACTGTTAAGATTAGGGCATGTGGATGAGTTTCTTCTAGGCTAACCTTTGTAGCAATGACTGCTACACCTTAATCAATAGTCTTAATCCAGGCTGTTCATGAAGCCAGACGTATTTGTCTGTAAATTCTAGATATTTCCACTAGATACAACTTATTTATTAAATATAACTTTTTCCTTTATCTGTTGGTTAACATTTAGCTGTTGTTGTTATTATTTTTAATAAGAAGAATATTAAGAGCAAAAAGACAAAAGAAGGGAACAATCAAAATTAAGAACATAATATCTAAAAGAATAAAACAACAAAAGAGAAAAAAAACCCTCTAGATTAAAACAATTAAATAGCTGCAGACTTTCTGGTCCCTGTTTGTTTGTTTGTTTTTTAACTTTTACCAGTTGTCGTTGTCTCTGTCGTAGGTGCTGAACATCATCCCGTTGTGAATGGTCATGGTGCGGTTTTCACCAAACAACTGCAAGGCTCCCTCCATGAGGCCGTTGCCTGCATTTCCAGAATAGCCATCCACCGCTAGCAAGTAGCTGGTGGACTCTGATTGGACGGTGAACTGGCGGTACTGAGCGTAGACCTTAAAGATGTCACAAACCAGGACAGGGTGGATTTTATTTCATTTTTTTTCTTGTTACAATCCTCTGTACATTGACAAGATTCTAATAAATCAATTAAACTAATTTTTTTTTCTTTGGTTAACCCATTTTATTAAACTGTCTACAATTTTTGTGAACAATTGTCTATTTCTGGGAAATATGGCAAATATGTAAATTTGTAACATTTGTTAAACAATTGTCTATTTCTGGGCAATATGGCAAATATGTAAATTTGTAACATTCCTGAACAAACTTGTAGTTTTTTTTTCAAAATTCATTTTTCTTTATTTCTGACTAGTTTCCCGTGCTCTACACTGGTTAAAATGTTATAATTATTATTTTGGTCAGCTAGGCTGTATACTTAGCTGTACATACCATGTAGATCAAGATTTTGCTGGTTATGTTTGGGTCAACATTTCATTATGGTTTAATAAAGTTAACGCTCCTGCTGCTACGCCGTTTGGCTAAGATTTAGAAATCCTATTGTCAGAGTTATTTTTAGGCCAACGTTTACTTCACCTTTTGTTGTTTCAGCAACTGTTGTTGTGCAAAAGGTCATTTTTGTAGCGACATTAAAACTACTTAAGAGACAACGAGGAGTCACCTTATCTCCTGACCAGTCTTCCATCTCAATAAGAACCTCAGTGGGGCCCAATTTGGTCAGTTGACTGATTCTGTCGTTACCCAACCAGTATTCACCTGTCACATGACCAGGTAGAGGAACCAGGGTTAGTGAACCTTTGTTTACTGACAAAAACAGAACATTGAAAAAAAAAACCCTCCTGGCTCTGTTACCTGGAATCTCACAGAAACCTTTGTCACTTTCAAAAGCGATGTTGCCAAACCCTCGACGATAATCGTCCCAGCGTCGACCGAAGTCAATGCTGCCGTCCATCCTGTTCTGAATCAGGACCCAACCTAGAAACAGATCAGGGACGTGTTGTACGTTCTTTATCTGTAAAATGTTCAGGCTAGGTTAACCAACACCTCACCTCCATTCTGTGAGGTCTGGTCACAGAAGACTTTGTAGGATGGGAAGAACGAGTCTGGCTGGATCAGGTACATCTGTGAGTCTTGTCCTCCACGACGGTAGATGTCCTCTCACTCTTTCACTGAATCACACACACAGACACACACTGGTAGGTCAGTTGGTTCTAATAAGGGTCAATATTTTTGGCCTGCAGTTCAAAGTTCTCACCAGTGCTGTCACTATGCAGACGATGCCATACTCTACCCAACCACTCCTTACACTTCATCCTACGACTTTTAAGTGTTTTTGAGTCTTTTTAACCTGTTGTCCTGTCAAACATTTGTTTTTCCATCAACAGCACACATGGGACAATGGTCAGTCTCGTCCCTGAACTCTTGGCCAAGCAGTAGAGGGGGCAAAAACAAGGGTGGCAGCGGAGCTGTGACTGGACTCACCAGAAACCACAGGTACTGGGCACTTGGTCTTGCATGGTTCCTTGCAGGCCTCTCTCTGGCCCTGAATGGCCTTCTCCAGCTTCTGGATCTTCAGTCTTATCTTCTCCAGAACTCCCTGTAGACCACAGAGATGTGTGGTAGTTATAGTGGAGGACGAGCGGTGAAGGGTTGGGTAGGACAGTCGGCACTCACCTGCAGGACCCGAATGTTGGAAGGGAAGACGGTGTCCACTGTTTCTTTGATGTAAGCATGTTGTTCCTCCACTTGATCAGTGTATTCACCTGCCACTCTGCTGTTGTCTGAGCCACAGAGAAAAATGTCTAAGCCAGTGGTGAAACACCAAACCAAAAAGTCCTAAAAACAGGAATCTCTGTGTGCACTCACCGTAGACAATTTTCTGCCTCTCCCTCAGAGAGTGAGACATGCTGTTGACGTAGTTGAAAATGTTGTTGGTCGATCGGGACAGTTCGTCCACGTGAGGCCTCAGTGCATTAATGCCCTGCAGACATGTGACAGCAGTGAAGCCGGATGAAAGACTTCAGTGTAAAACTGTCCAACATCAAACACTTGAGGTAACAAACACGCTTCAGCTACCATTCTGACGTTCCTCTCCTGTTTCAGCAGCATCGTCTGCAGCTCACAGCCGGTGGGACACAAAACCCCCTGGTGGTAGGAAACATCACTGAACGTTATTCTTGTTTTTATTTGACCTGTTTTAAATCATGTTTACAGTTTCTAGATGTTCTTGTTGTTGTGCTTCTTGAGAGAACCCTTCTCAGATGGAAGCCTGTTCTCAAACAAACATGGCTGCCAAAGAGTGTAGACACTTTGATGACTTGTGGTGACCTACAGGATTAAAGGTCATTAGTCTAATACTAGTCTAGTACTATAAAATACAGATTTTTTTTGTGGTGACCTACAGGATTAAAGGTCAATGTGTCCACGTACCATCGTCTCTGCTGCGTGCGTGCATCCTCCAGCGTCTGGCATCACCTCCTTCTCTTGTGTGTGAGATCCTCTGACTGGAGGAGGCGTGGGACGACCACGATACCTGAGGAAGAAACAGCAAATTACGTTACTGGACGTCAACTCCATTAGTGGAGTTGATGGTTGATGGGATCTATATCTACCTGCTGGCCCCCTGGACTGGGGGGTGGACATATCTGGGGGTGTAATGACCTGTGCCTGACGTTACGGGACGGTGGCCTCGAGCTTTAACATCTGAATTCTGGGTAATGTAAGTAAATGAGGAAAAGAGATGAGTCACAGACGACTGTCACATAAAAACACTGCAGTGAAATCATTTGTAGGTTTGTTTATGTTATAATTGTTAATGAAGTGACCAGACAACTCATTCATTTAACAGTGGTTCTCAAACTGTGGTACATGTACCACTGGTGGTGACTTCAGTGTTACGTCACTGTACAGTGAGTCTTTGCCAGAGAAATATTCTGAGGATTGAGCTTTCAATAAATTCTCTCGTTCATTAGTGGGTCTCAGCTGAACACTGTAGACCAGTGCTGTTGTATTTCAATGTCAGTCACAGTGCCGCCACTGGAGGAAATGAATATCTTTTTGGAGGTTGCACATGCTGTCAAAAGTTTGAAAATCGCTGCTGTAAGATATTTAAAGAGACACCAGTGGTTCTACTCACCGTTCCGTTTCCTGTGACGTCTTGTGTATCCTGTGTAAGAAAAATGTCAAAAAAGTGCTACGAAAAGGTAGATGTAAATGAGAAGTTAGGATTTGTCCTAAACTCACGGTCTCGTAGTCGTCAAACTCCAGATCGTCCTGAGCCCAGGCCACGTAGGCGCACAGGCACAGCAGCAACAGGGTCCTCATGGTGCAGTGTTGGAAACGCCAAACGGTGCTCGCTCTTCTGCGAAGGTTCCAGCTGAGCTGGTATTTATGTGTTTCCAGGTCTGAGTCCTCCTGCGTTCTCAGACCTGTTGAAACAGCTGATGAACGATGGGTCAGTTTACTCACACCTGAGTCATTCCAGTTCACCACGGTCACTGCAGCATTTGTCTCGGTACAAAAGGGCAAAAGGTTGAATTTGCAGAACTCGTTGTGCAAACACTTGTTTTTGGTTTTTGCTGAGGTTATCGGACCAATGCCTAAATAAACCTCACCTCAAACAACACATGAAAAAATAAATCCAAAGACCTCAACACCAAGGCTACATGGGTCATTCAATCTCACAGCGCCCCCTACACTGAACAGCAGCAGACTCTGCCAGTGGTTACAGAACAAAAGCAAGCGAACAAAACAAAATCCATATCAGTTCATAGATTAAATGACAGAAACCCCCGGTTTTTGCTACTTTCTAAACCAATGATGCATTAGGTTCAAAAGTCCTTAGAGAAAATTGATCATTTTACGCCACAGCACAAATGTCAAGTTGATCCTCTGCTGCCCCCTGCAGTGAGAATGATGTTCTTGAACTGCTTCAGTCAGGTTCTCTGTGACTCAAAACAGGCCTGCTACACTATGGTCTGTAGACATTGAACACTGAGTGTATCACATGACACAAAGGCTGAAGCTGGTTAAAAGAAACGTATTAAACTTATGTTCAGACATTCCAGAATGACACTATAATGCTCTTTTTATTTACCCGTGTTTACTTTTTTTAATTTCACCAGAAGAGTCTAAAGGAAAATATCACACTTGCTGTTCATTATATGCATTCATTGCAAAAAGAACCAAGGTAAATCATTGTGATTGTATAACGATGGTAATACAACCATAATCAAGCATCAGACTGATTTGAACTGCTTCAGAACACAGAGGATTAAATATGTTAAAGTGAGGTCAAGTCAAAACAAAAAATGATATATGACTGACAGCATGTCTTTGGAGGATCACTCCTCCCCCCTCAAATATTTGACTTTAAAAAACCAACAAAAAAAAAAAACTTAAAACATGTGTTCCTTAAAAAAAAAAACCCCACCAGTGTAGAGCCCTGATGACCTGAAGACAAAAATCAACAGAAAAAGCTCAAGGTTAATCAATTGTGTAGCAAATATGATAAGTAAAACATTTATTATAAAAAGGAAACAAAAATTGCTTAGATGTTGTTTAGACAAATACAAAAAATGAACCAAATGAAACCCAAGAGTAAGAAGCAAGAAGACAAAAAATGTCTTTGCTGTTTGGATATAAAATTACAGCTCAATTTATTTGATTTCATTGGCTTCACAAACATGGTAAAAACAGAGGAAGAACCTGAAAATTCCACTGAGGGAGAGAACGTTTGTTTCACCACCTTTTTCTATCTTTCTATGGCCTTTTCTATTTTATACCTTTCTCATACCACAGTCCATACAGGAGGTCAGTGAATAAACATCACAGCAGTCTGTGATCTGCTGCGAACCAATCAGTAAATCTTAATGTGTGATCTGTGCTTTGATTCATTTCTATGACACAAACTAACGAGATAATGCAACAACAACAACACAGCAGCCCCAAAATTTAGATTTTCTTTGGGGACATTTGTGTTGTTTGGTTATAATTTAGAAAATTTCAATTTACTGTGAAAAAAGAACAAACAGCAAACGCTTTTAAGACTGGTTTCAATGGTATCCAAGCCCTAATCAGATTGAGAGAACTTGTGGTGCGGTTAGCCAAAATTGCTCATTGCCTCTATTGTCTTTGCCGTGATGGAGAATAGGTTTAATAAAAAAAACTTGATCCTAGGAAATTGGTTTTCAAATATTTAATAAATAAAATTTCAAAACTAAAACTTAACTTGTTAAATTAAGGTTAATATTCAAGTAAAAGCAGCAGCAACCATTGAAATAAAGCAACAATGATCTGGTAAAAAAATAAATAAATAAATAAAAATCAAAGGTTGTAAAGTTTTACCAAGGAACAGTCAGATCCCTATTCCTGGGGTTTGTAACAACATCTTTAACTTAAGGATCTTTCCTTAAGACACATAAATACTTCAAGTGCTTCAATGTATCAACAACTCAGGTCAGTATCAGGTATGGAATTTAATTTAGTTTTTTGTCACACCCTGAAAGCTTTTGGTTGATTTCTGACTGAAATGTACAGAATAAAAGTCTAACTAAAGACTTTAAAAGTTTGGCACCTTTGAAATACATAGTTAAGTGCGGCACTGTCGCAGGTTTTCTACATCCAGTCTAAATCTGGATCTGATCATATACTGTAGCAGGGGCAGCAGCAGCAGCAGCAGCAGCAGCAGCGGCAGCAGGAGTGGCAGCAGCAACAAGAGCAGCAGACTCCGAGTCACAGGTTCCTTCACATTCCTCGGAACATCACGGACGTCCCAAGAAGGTCGGACCCTCGGACTGCTGAAGGATCTGACCTGAAACGTTGGCTGCAGGGCAGTACAGACGGTGTCCCTCAGGGCATTATTCCAGGCCCAGTGAAAAGTTGATACCGTGAACGATACCAATGATAATGGGCTGCCAGGCCACCAGGTACCTGAGCCAGTCCAGCAGCTGACCATAAAGGACGTGAGTCTTCTCCCAGCTGCAGGATTTAGGATTTAAGGAGTAGGCAACACAAAGGTAGGCAACATTTTTATCAACTTCAAACTGTTGTTGACAACATTCTGTTAGTCAGAGCTGACTCTTCACACTTCTGTCGTTGAAGTCTCATTTTTGTCTCAATCCCTTATTGTTTGTTTGTTTTTATTTTATTTTCCTCTGAGCGCAACTGTCAAGATTTGACCTTAACACAGGGGGCGCTCACCCAACACACCTTTTTACTACAACAACATCAAACAGAAACATAAGGATACGGGTTGTTCATCATCTGCTTTAAGTCCACCTTCTCATTGCAGAACGGGCATGTCTGCTTCTTACCCACAATGCACCAGCCACGAATGCAGAACTCATGAAATCTGAAGGGGCGGAGCCAAGTTAAGGCTGAACGACAAAGAATGGTTGTCAGTGATGCACCAGAAAACTGTTAATGTGTTTCTCATGTAAAAAGTAAAAACTGAGAACGTTTGTCTGAACAATAGAGTACAACAACATCTAACAGACTTGGACCAATCACAGCTGAGGGCAGATGGTGGGCCGGTCTCAGCTTAAAATGCCTGGGACAATTTTTTGTTCTGACTATTGTAACACTGTTGCCAACACGCACACAACATGACAACGTTTGTATTTAATTGATATAAGAAGGAATCAGAGGATACATGTGTCCACAGGACAGCTGGTAGGTGTCCTCGATGAAGCCTTCCTCCTCCACGTCCACCAGGATCTTCTGCCCACACACAGCACAGATGTCACAGGTCAGACTCCTGCTGGGAAGGCCTCCTTTGTTGTAGTACTGTGTAGAAATTAATATTTTATTCTTTCATTCACTATTAGGTGCAGATGTTGAAACATACAAACAAACTTTTTTACGCCTAGTGTAGAAGCCATGTAGTCAGAACAGATTTCAGCAAAGTCTCTGCCCATGACGCCGTAGTAGAGGCCGTAGAAGAGCATGATCACGCCGACGTCCATCGAGTCTTCTGCTCTGATTCTGCACACAAGCACAAGAAAGTGTTAGTGTTGCAACTGAACTCTATTTTAAACACACAGGGGCGTAAGACCACCTCTGAACAGATGCCTGTGAAGAAAATTACAAATAAATAATAAATAAATAAAGCATTTAATCACATAGTTCTTTCATTTTTAACAATCTGGCAATGTTGTTGTCTGAATCCAGCCAATAGATGGCAGTAACGTACCGTTGACTAAGTGAACATGATGTTTTTAGTGATATCAGCACATAGACCCCAGAGCTAATGTTGGGCTATTTTCTCTGTGGATTTTGGTCAGATCATTTCTGTCACTGACACCACCTCTGACCTGAAGAAGACATTGAAGCCAAACATGGTGAACATGATGGCGAGGTAACCCAGGACTCCAACTGCATAACTCAGCTTGTAGATCAGCAAGAACCACTTGTACACCATCCTGCAAAAAAGGCAGAAATGCCAAGTAGACTTTCCCTTCTCCTGTGCTTTCAAAAAACAAAGCTTTGTGAATATATTTTTGTTTACCGCTAACATGTCAAACCTGGGTGTCCTACAGGACAAAGGTCGGCGTGTGGCTCTGAAGATGACGTAGCTCGTGATGACAGAGAACACTCCCCACATGGACAGGAACCTCCACCAGTACAGTTTGATGGTGAAGTAAAGTGGGACCACCCACATCTGGACCAGAGTCACCAGCTGTGGAGTTCACACATAGGCCTCATGGGTTCAAACAGTCTTTTCTATGTCCAAACAGGAGTCTATCCAGAAAAGGGTCAATTTTAACTTCAGAGACTAAAAATGTGCAGACTCACTGCTGCCCCCTTATGAAGTCTTTTTATGACGCTGAAGTAAATACACAATTACTGAGTGATGGAAGCAGCACTGCATCAGAAACTCTTGGGAGCCACTAATGTCAATTTGATACATTTTGTTAATGAAATCTGTTTATTCATCTTGTAGCAACTTGTCAACTGCCTGCTTTACCACTCCAAAGTTTAAGCAGTGAATAAAATACTTTAAACTACTTCTTCAATCATTCATTTTTAATCTATTTCATTTCATAAGAAATATTTCTGCTCACGTTGTACGAGCGGTGGTGGCGCTGTTTCCACTGCACCAGGACTATCTGAGCCACCACCAGCGTGGCCACCAGGATCAGCACCATCTCAGCGTGCATGGCCTCGTGGCCTCTGTGCTTCACGTGCAGACGCTCGTGCTGCACCCTGACAACAAGGAAAAGAACCAGGCCTTGGTTAAGTCTCGGCCGAGCCTTGTATAAAACATCACACAGTGATACATTGAAAACACAAAAGTTCTTCTCACTTCCAGTTTTCTCTATGTGTCATCTTCAGCAGGTCGTCCTGTAGCAAACACAGACAAGATTCTTGAGAAAAGATCAATTATAGAAGTCATTCACAGGTTGTTGTGTTGTCTAACAGGTTTACAACTAAGAACATCAGAAGAAACATGAATGTTCTACAGGAAATGTAACTATAACTTTGCCTTAATTATAATATCTGATCAGACAGATCCGAGAGGTACAGGTGTAGGACCCCCGTCTGCCACTAGAGCAGTGGTTCTCAACCTGGGTTTGATCGAACCCCAGCGGTTCGGTGAGTCAGTCTCAGTCACCCCCCCTCCCCCCAGTATATGAAACTGGTGTGGTTCGGTGAGTCAGTCTCAGTCACCACCCCTCCCCCCAGTATATGAAACTGGTGGGGTTCAGTACGTCCAACAAGGTTAAGAACCACTTCACTAGAAGGTTCAAGGTACAGTACGTAGCCTATCAATGTGGATGAGGGGCCGAGTGGTTGCCAAGGAAATTTCAGTTATCGGTTTTCCATGTGTAGTGGGCCATTAAAGGCAAAAACAGTATTGCCTAATTACATTTCTTAACAATAGGTGGCAATAATAGCCCTGTAATGAGAGTTGATATTTCACATCATAGAAGACACAAACTCTAGCATTATGTGACTGCTCAGGTTCAAATGACATCATCTTTTCATTTAATAAATCTAAGAAGCTCGAAGTTCTCTTTGTTTTGGCTCGTGGACTGTCATACTGGAGTGACAGTGGGTCCTGAAGCTAGACCGGTTTAGAACCACTGTGCTGTTCTATCTTCCCTTTAACTAAGACGTCGACCAGCCTCATCGGACAAAAATCAAGCCTTTGTCATGGAAGAGCATTGAGTTCTCAGGAGAGGGGAACCAAAATTTAAGAAAAAATTAAAAGGTTCTCCAAAATGTACCTAAAGAGTTCCTTCAAATCTGTGTCTTTGTTTCCCAATGAAGCAAAATGTTGTCTTGATTTACACTCCGTCTTCCGTTGAGAGAATAAAAGGTTTACCTTTTATTTCTGAAAATATTTGTTTTAAATTTTAAGTAATATTTTGCCTGTCTGTAATGTGCGGTACATACTAGGGCTTCGCTGCTGAATAGGAACATGAACAGCTGACACGAAGCTAAATGGCTAAGAGACGCCTGCTAACCTTGGTTTCTTTAAACTCCAACGGAAAAATTTATCTATTTAGATTTCTTAATAGTCCGACGTTTCATACCTGAGGGTGAACGCCCGCCATCTGACCGTATTCTTTGTGTTCCTGTATCACTCAATTAGCCGGTGGGTACCTGTTAGCTATTAACACAGACAGGACAGGGGCTACTTCCGGTTACGTACCCCGTAAAGTATCAAAATACTAAAGCTGCAAAGTAAGCCCAATCGCCAGCTTTTGTATCTGTGGCGTTTTTGTCTCGCTTACGTAACAGTTACAAGTCTCCTAAATATATTTTTCTCAGTTTTTAAAGAGTAGAGGCACAAAAGATCTGGCCCTGGGAACAACAGCTGGACATTTTTTTGTTTTATTTGGACCAGTAGATTCAGTAAATTTAAATGCACAGAGAAAGAAAAATCAGTATTTGTTTGTTTTTAGACCAGCACTAGGGTTTTTGATTAATACTGAGCATTTTTTTAAATATCTTAGATCCATTTGTTTAAGGCTTTTTACCCCATTACTAGCTGCAAAACAATCATTATCTTTGACCATTTACTGAACTTCAATTTTTTATTGAACATTTATAGCTATCATCTTAAATGTGTAGGCTAAAAAGTTGCAATCCATTTTGTAGTAAATGAGTCTTCTTTTCTCTCATTTTTAATATTAAGTTTCTTATGCTGCTAGAACATCTTACAGCAGTGGTTTAAAAACAGAGCTCAACTTTTAGTTAGTACAAATATGATCTTTATTCTGTAACAACATACAGTGTTGACACATCCAATCATCGTTTGCACCACAGCAGTTGTAGTCCTGTCAATGGCCTCTTGTTAACCCGACCCACAATGAGCATCCTGTGTGAAGATATGAAACAAGGTGAGTTCCTCAGGCATTGATGACATCAACAGTTTGGGCATAGAATTGTTCGCTCAGACATCCAAGGAAGATTTGGGCCATCTTTGGTCTTCCGACCTCTGGTGTAAACTACGAATGGCAGGAAATTACGTCATCACTGCGACACTTCTAGTTAACAATGTACTTTAACATAAACAAACCTGGTTCCCAAGAAGATTGTTGGCACAGCAACCAATGTCATTCATCTTGATCATGTTGCTTCACTCAGTCACCCTATAAGGAAAAAGTCAAGTAATGGTCACTCTTAATAACTGGTGAAGTTTAAAATACTAGTTTTTTGGTTCGCTCAGACATCCGCAATTAATAGTCACTTTCTTAACTGGTGAAGTTTTAAAACAGTTTTTTTGGTTCGCTCAGACATCCAAGGAAGATTTGGGCCATCTTTGGTCTTTCGACCTCTGGTGTAAACTACGAATGGCAGGAAATTACGTCATCACTGCGACACTTCTAGTTAACGATGTACGTTAACAAACAAACCTGGTGCTCAAGAAGATTGTTGGCACAGCAACCAATGTCATTCATCTTGATCATGTTGCTTCACTCAGTCACACTATAAAGAAACAGGCAATCAATGTCACTTTCTTAAGAACTGATCAGGTTCAAAACACTAGTTTTTTGGTTCGCTCAGACATCCAAGGAAGATTTGGGCCATCTTTGGTCTTTCAACCTCTGGTGTAAACTACGAATGGCAGGAAATTACGTCATCACTGCGACACTTGATTCAAATCATACTTCAATACATACACACCTTATTCTGACGACTGTCCATGTCCTGCTGATTGTTGGTCCAGCAACCAGTTTCACTGATCCCGATTACGATGCATCACGCAAAGTCACCCTAAAGAGAAACGTGAATAGAATGTCACTATTCTAAAAAACTGTCAGTTTACAAGACTAGTTCTCTGGTTCGCTCAGACATCCAAGGAAGATTTGGGCCATCTTTGGTCTTTCGACCTCTGGTGTAAACTACGAATGGCAGGAAATTACGTCATCACTGCGACACTTTGTTAACAATGTACTTTAACATAAACAAACCTGGTTCTCAAGAAGATTGTTGGCACAGCAACCAATGTCATTCATCTTGATCATGTTGCTTCACTCAGTCACACTATAAGGAAAAAGGCAATCAATGTCACTTTCTTAAGAACTGATCAGGTTCAAAACACTTGTTTTTTGGTTCGCTCAGACATCCAAGGAAGATTTGGGCCATCTCTGGTCTTTCGACCTCTGGTGTAAACTACGAATGGCAGGAAATTACGTCATCACTGCGACACTTGATTCAAATCATACTTCAATACATACACACCTTATTCTGACGACTGTCCATGTCCTGCTGATTGTTGGTCCAGCAACCAGTTTCACTGATCCCGATTACGATGCATCACGCAAAGTCACCCTAAAGAGAAACGTGAATAGAATGTCACTATTCTAAAAAACTGTCAGTTTACAAGACTAGTTCTCTGGTTCGCTCAGACATCCAAGGAAGATTTGGGCCATCTTTGGTCTGTCGACCTCTGGTGTAAACTACGAATGGCAGGAAATTACGTCATCACTGCGACACTTGATTCAAATCATACTTCAATACATACACACCTTATTCTGACGACTGTCCATGTCCTGCTGATTGTTGGTCCAGCAACCAGTTTCACTGATCCCGATTACGATGCATCACGCAAAGTCACCCTAAAGAGAAACGTGAATAGAATGTCACTATTCTAAAAAACTGTCAGTTTACAAGACTAGTTCTCTGGTTCGCTCAGACATCCAAGGAAGATTTGGGCCATCTTTGGTCTTTCGACCTCTGGTGTAAACTACGAATGGCAGGAAATTACGTCATCACTGCGACACTTCAAGTTACCAACGTACGAATGTTAACGTGAACAAACCTGGTTCTCAGGAAGAGTGTTGGCACACCAACCAATGCCATTGATCTTGATCATGTTGCTTCACCTAGTGACCCTATAAGGAAAAGCAAATCAAAGGTCACTTTTATATAGAATTGATAAAGATAACAAAACAAGTTCTCTAGTTCGCTCAGACATCCAAGGAAGATTTGGGCCATCTTTGGTCTGTCGACCTCTGGTGTAAACTACGAATGGCAGGAAATTACGTCATCATTGCGACTGTTTTGTTTAATTTATTTAAATAACACTTATTTGATCAAGAATCACACATAACTTTATATACCTGGTTCCAAAGTGTAGATTCCATCCATTTTTCCAAAGACGCCCAAAAAAATTCTCACAGCCATGTGTTCTGAAACGAAAAGATGATTAAATACTAGATCAACCTTCATCGTCTGTTAAACATTTGTCATGTCATACTGACATTTTCTATTAATCGTATGCATTAACTTTACTTTTGGCAGCATATTGAGATAAAAGTTCAAAATTAACTCCACTATAAGAAGCTTTAGTCGCTATTTTCGCTTTCTGAGAACTACATTTCGTTATACTTTCAGCCTAATTTCAACACATATGTAGCTGTGTGGTGTACATTAACATGCCTATGCATATTATCTGAAAAACTGAAAACATTTTTGGATGTACAATGACCTAAACGGGCATCAATTAAAAATATATGTTTCACGCAAAAAACAAAAACAAAAAACGTGCTGATTCAAAAGAGCGTAAACAACGTGCAAGGTAGTACTGTAGTTCATGTGGAATCTCCAAAAGCAATCGACGTCCATCCACTAGATTGAATACTCATCGGCAGTATATGCGGACAAATGCGGTATATAAAGGTTTTGCTTAACATTATTAATGAACATTTTAGTCATAGACGTAACTCAATGAGAAAAATTTACCTTAGTAGTACTATTAGCTTTCCACCTTCCGCAGGAACAGACATAGCATTCCGTTCCGCACGAATTTATATACAAAAGGCGGAACAGGAAACACGTCATCAACAGGCCTGCCGGAAAATTTCAGAGAATACGCTACAGTATATATACAGTATATACTGTATATACATATATAAAACAGGTATAACAGGTAATTGTTATATTTATAGTCCTATAATCTTAAAAAACGGACTAAAACGACTAAAATTAATTTTAAGTTTTTCTTTTTAAACGTTTATCGTTGTGTAGTAAAATGAGAGGTACTAAATGACTGTGTTAAAAAGTCGTTAGGTAGATGTGATGAGTGACGGCTGCGCATTCACCAATCATATTTCTGCATTCCCCTGACTCTCTGGCCTGTGACTGGTGAATGATGAAGCAGCTTATAAAGGTCCTCTTCAGTCTGCTGCTGCTAGTGTTGCCGTGACGATGACATCCCTCCCCCTTCCACATACACCCACACACGCGCACACGCGCACACGCGCACACACACATTGCTTCGATGACGAAGGCTCAGAGCTGGAAAACAGATATGGTGAGTGCTGGCTTTGAGTTTGTTCTTTAAAATAATGACACAGGATGGATGCATGGATGGATGGATGGATGGATAAGGGATTAATGGATAGGTGAATAGTTGGATGGAGGAGGGATGGAGGAATGCTCAGGGATGACAGCAGCATCTGTATCATGGTGAGAGGAGGAGGAGGGAGGACCGAGTGCAGAGACCAGAAAGGGATGGAGAAGACTGCAGGATGGAGGAGGACGAGGAGGCGTGAAGGCGTGTGTGTGTGTGTGTGTGTGTGTGTGTGTAGGCCTGTATGTTTTACGTGCTAGCACCCTGTGTGCTAACAGTACCAGGAGGTATGTTAACCCAGTCTGTGGCACAGTAAAGGCTAATGTACAGCTGTGCTGCAGTCATGCAGCTAGATGTTAGTTAAACACTTCAACACACTGACTGTAAAGCAAACCAACATGTGGGGTTTTTAGAGTGACGCTACTTTTAAAACAGTCTGTGCTCGAGCCCTGTTCAAATTAGTTTTTTTCCATCTTTACATTAAACTCTCGTATTTCTCTGGAGTAGACCAGGCTAATGTTCATGAAAATCATCACATTTTAGGAATATCATTGACACTATAGTTCTGACATATATGGTAGTCATGGATGGTAGTAATATAATAAAATCCGAAGCTTGTTTTGGAGAATTCAGCTTTAAAAAGAAGGGAAATAATAAAGATTGAAAAATAATTTGACTGAAACAAAGAATTGACTGAATCTGTGTCTGTGTCAGTCACAGTCTGTTACCACTGAGGCAACAGAGGCTCTGTGTGTGAATGTGTGTATGTATGTATGTGTGTGTGTGTGTCACCACACCATCCTTGTGGGAACATTGTTCTGGTGAAATGCTTTGTTGTGCTGACACTTTGGCCTTGTGGGTATCTTTTCAGGTCCCCAATAAGAGAGAGGGTATTTTGAGGGTTACATTTTATCTTGGAGGGAGGATTAGAATTAGGGCTGGGTTAGAATAATCGTTAGGACGGAGATTAAGCATACAGTACAGTTAAAATGGTTACAGCTAGGATAAGGGGTTAGAAAATGCATTATGTCTATGTGAAGTCCTGACAACTCATGAAAACCACGTAGTGTGTGTGTGTGGTGTGTGACAGGATTATACAGAAGATCAAAGAACATGTATGCCCATCCCCCTTTATACAGAATTGGGAATATACACAGTAGGACAAAAATGGTGCAGGTTTGGTTCCAAATGCACCAATAAAAACTAACTTTTTCCTTTATCTTCTCTTTTTTTCTCATCAGGACTTGACAGAAGTTATCTTTGCTTTGATTCCATGTAGAATTAATTGATTAATCTGTTTTGGTCTAAGACGTCCGGGTGAGTCCAACCACGATGTGAAGGAATTATGTTTACCGACATTCACGTGCACACCAAGACACGTGTGATCTGGGTGTCCATCTCTGCAGCGGAATGGAATGAACTGTAGGGGAGACGTTTGCACCTGTAAAAATACACATACGCTGTAGAAGACTGCGGGAAGGGTCTTCTTCACGACTGCCACCTGGGCTGCTGCTGGCAGATGGAGGCCCATCAAAACTCCCCGGACAGCAGCAGCGAGGAGTGCACCGTCCTGGAGGCTCCGCCCAACAAAAACAGCTGCCTGCTGCACACCGGGAATGTATGAAAAATGCTTCTATAAGTTCATGCTAATTCTGAAGTTTAACAACCTTGGTAAATTATGCTGCACTTTTAGATAGCTTAACATGGTAAAGTTATGAAAGGTAAAAATAGGTAAGGACATCAAAATAAAGCTAGAACAGTTGACAAAACAATTGGAACTTAGATAAAAACACAATGTGGAGCAGAAGAAGGGGTACAATACTTCACACACAAAAGACAACCAAAAGAAAAAGCTTTTGGCCAAAACAGGGGGAAAAAACTTCTCCTAGAAGCTGAACTCAGCTTAGTTTTAAAGACACTAACATAACAAAACGGCAATTACTAAAAATGACAATGCTACAGACAGCCACTAGAGGGCAGAAACATGTTTCACAATTTAATATACTGTACACCTGGATGTTTTTCTTTGTACCCCTAGGTGGCAGATAAGTACTGTCTGACCTGTGAATGTGCAGTGTGTGAGGAGTGTATTTTAGAGCATGATGATCACCCCAAGGTGGCGCTCTGCCAGGCCCTGGAGCAGCATCGTAGCCTGCTGCAGGAGAGACTAGAGGCCACCCAGAACAGGTCAGAACCACATGTCGGATGTTGATTGTTCATTGCTGCCTGATGTTTCTAGAACAGTCTGATGAGGTGATGCTGCTGGTTCTGGAACTCACCAAGTAGATCTGTAATCATCATAAAATGCGTTGTTGTAGTTTTAACTCATTTATGGTCACTACATGATCTGAATCAGTACAGACTTGATTAAAGGTCAATTAAAGCTACTGGGAGCCACACAACCTGACTCAGTGGGCCAAATTCAACCCGCAGGCCTTGAGTTTGTGGTCTGAGGTGCAATAATACCATCTGGCGGACAAAGAGAGAATTACAAGGCTGTGTCTCATAATTGTAAAATAGCAGTGGAAGAAACAGTCAGGATTTTTTTAAACTTTGTTTTCTAAATTTAAAGGTAATCCTCAGTTTTGTGGTATGAAGTCTATCTTTGGTCAGTGTTGATTATTGAAGGAGGTCAGCCTCTCTCCTGCAGCTAGATAATCTCTAAGAGTTTTAAATTTAAGGCCATGGAAAGACGTTTCTTTACTTTCCGGTCCCTGCGTTGTCCTAGACTCCCTCAGATATCAGAGGCCTCGTCCTTTGTTAAGGAGATCCTTCAGCAGCTGACCAACCTGAGATCTTCCATCCAGGAGGACATCCAGTCCAGCTTCGAGGACCTTCACAAGCAGCTGGATGTT